GAGTTCCTCTTATCCAGTTTTCAGTTCTCTCTCAGGGGTAATTTTTCCACAAGTGGTTGTAAATTGGCTGTGTCCATGGGAGGAGGTGAGTTCAGAGTCTGTTTATGCCGCCATCTTGACTTCTCTCTCCCTCAACTTGCAAATTACATTTTCCCTTGCTATGATCTCTTCAAACATACCAGCATCTCTGAAGCACCCTCACTTACTGTCTCCCTTGCTTTCACAGACTATCTAAAACTGGCCACAAAACTTCCTTTATGTTCACTAGGCTAACTATTCCAGTCAGATACTTTCATTTATTCATCTTCTTTCCAAATTTTAATTTACTCATTCCTTTATCTTCTACTATACCTCATTTCCTCCTCTAATTTACTTTCCTATGTCAAGGAGCCATTCTTTAAAACAACAAAAAAAAATCTTTCAAATGAGCTATATAGAAAAAAAATTTCACTCGTGAATAAATCACTTTAAACTTTAAAAAGAGTTCTTAACAATAATATAAATTATTTTTATAGCCATATATAATCACACTTAAAATAGGAGGCTTAGGTGTCTATTTTGCCTATGATTCCTAAGCAAATTATATTTTTTCCCTCTAAGAGATATTACTACTAACAAAGCCCTCAATCTGACCAAGAGTATACATTTAATCTCTTCCCTTCTACAGATTTATAAAATTTATCTTTTCCTTTCTTCAGATGTTTACTTTACATTACTTATCACCTGAAAAGGAAATTTAATTTGTATATTTAAAAAAAAACAGTAGGTAGGAACTATCTTAAAAAAAAAGGAAGGAAAAAAAAAGCCCACTTTCCAAGATCATAAATTCTACCAAGATTTCTCATTAGGCAATGACAGAGTCAGGGTTAAAACTGGGCCTAGCCACCTGGCGGTGTAGCGGTTAAGTTCGTGCGCTCCGCTTTGGCAGCCCAGGGTTCACGGGTTCAGATCCTGGGTGCAGACTGACGCACTGCTTGTCAGGCCGTGCCGTGGCGGCATCCCATATCAAGTAGAGGCGGATGGGCACAGATGTTAGCCCAGGGCCAGTCTTCCTCAGCAAAAGGAGGAGGATTGGCAACAGATGTTAGGTCAGGGCTAGTCTTCCTCACACACACACACACACACACACAAAAACTGGGCCTAGCCAGAGTAATGCCGTTTCTCATTTTAAGGTCCCAAAACAAAGGCTGCCCCTAGCTCCTTAAAGGATATATGCTTCTCTGTTCTGTAGACTAACCCCAACCAACTCTAACTGCAAGTTAGGAATGTGTTTCCAGAACTGTTAGTGGTTTCCAGGCACTTTCTACCAAACACTCGAGGCAAAAGCACTAATTCAGTGACTAAGAACACTCTTCCCTCAAACCCCAGGCACTTTCTACCAAACACTCGAGGCAAAAGCACTAATTCAGTGACTAAGAACACTCTTCCCTCAAACCTACTGACATCTTAAGACTGGAAATTTCACCACCACCACCAGAGATCTTACCTAAGATTTCAAGTAGATCATTAGTAAATGCCTGAAATGCTGGGAAAAATTCCTCATGTTCTTCCAATTTGTTGATAATGCTTTAAAAAAAATGCACAGTTTACATTGAATTTCCAACTTAAGGTTCTTGCATCTGATTGAAAATAGAACATTTTCAAAAAGGAAAGAAATTTCCTGCTAATTTAAATACAAATTTAATGATCATTTATTGCAATCCTTCCTTTTTGAGCTCTTTGTTCATCTAGTATCATTTTACTGAAAACAAAATCTCTTATTATCAGTGTATTATCTGTTCCAAAGTTAAATTTATATAACATTTCTAATATAGGAAATTTTCCATTTAGCTTGAGTATTCTTAAGAGACCATGATTTTATAACATTTTCTAAAAATAACTGGCTTTTATATCTAGTATTCTATTAAACATTACGAAGAAATATCAGTAGTTGGTAAAACTGTAGGAAGGGGGAAAGGACCAAGGTGAGATATATGTTCCTTTTAAAAACATCAAGTATCAGAAAACTCAAGTGTCAGATTAGGTAAGAGTTCTTCTTAGAAAACTGGTAGAACACATGGAATAGGTGGTATACGTATGTGTTCCTCTTCCCATACGTTGCAGTATAAAATTTGGCAGGGGGTGCAGGAGAAGAAGAGTTGCTTTAAGTATAGCTATAATGTTTCAATATTTTAAAAAGACATCAGGTTTTATGTTAGAGATGCCTAGCTTTTTAAAAAATCCTTAACATTTATCTTCCAATCAAATACTAAATATACTGTTAGTGATTATTCAGTGGTCTATGGTAGTGTACTAAAAATAGGACTTGTTTATATATTTTGAACTTACGTGAAGTTGCTAACAAGGTTTGAATTTCTCCATATACAATTTTCCCTGGGAACAGGCTTATAGCAATAATGCTGGAGTCTTGACCCACCCTATGTAAAGTTATAGGCCCTACAATCTATTTTTATCTTGAAAATATTTGGCATTCTCTCCATCCCTAAGGTGGGAGATCATTTTCGATTGTCAAGTTACTTAAAAGATGCTATTCCAAACAGGAAAGGTAAATCAACTTATAAAGTTTTGAAAGTCTTTAATTTTTCCAGTCCAAGCATTCTGGATGATACCTTGTAAACTTTTTAAAATAAATACCTCTGGAGGTCTTCAGGTCCCAATACCTGCATAATCTGTTCATTCACATCCTCATTAAGCAGCCTACACAGTTTTCCTACTGTGCTCACTAGCACACACAATGAGGATGAACTATCTGCAAAAGAGAAATAAAAGGATAGGATATTTTAAAAGAGGATTTTCAAAATCATTAAATCAAACACTTTATGCTTCAGTTATCCTCAATTTTTTTACTTTAAAATGTTTTGCCTACTTTTTTCTTGATTTATCAGGAAGAATTCTTAAACGGGGGCCAAAAATGACAAATGGTCATCACCTAATTCTAAGAGTTCTTGGAGGTTTCTCACAGCATTGTTCATTTCTCCAAGCCTAGTATAAACTTCATGCATTCGGGGATAGACTCCATTTAAAGAAGGCACATCAAATAATTTTTGGAAGTGAGAAACAATAGCTTGCAAAGTTTGAAAGTTTGGCATATTGCTGTCCTGTCCAAAAGAGAGGGAGAAAAAAAAAACAGTTCACGTCTTAAAATAATCCCAAATCTTTAATAAAAACTTTAAAGAGAAATAGAGTCCTAGTAGAACAAATATCAATATCCACATCATTAACAGTTTTTAAGATAGGATTACATTAAAATGTCAATATTTACATAAGTATTAAGTATTACCTTTTCCTTATTTTCAACTTCTTCCAACATGGTATCTACTATAAACAACAGATCTTCAACTCTGATACCTTCATTTTCATCCTGCTTCTTTAAATTATGCCAAGGCACTAGTTCTGTAGATAGGATTTTCAAGGACTTATATAAATCCTTTATAACAAAAGAAATGACATGGTATTATTGATTTTAAAAAGTAGTTTCCATAATAACACTAATAAAATATAATTACCCAGGAAGGTTTAATATATACATTAACCATCATCAGTATTTTTTTTAAAATACTACTTCCAGTTTAGAAAAAGTCTGTTAAATTAGTTTTCTCCAGGTAAATACAGGCCTTACAAAAAACATTATATGTTGTTTATCTCAACTCTGGATGTTTTAAGTAATTATATTTATTATTAGTATATGTTATTTGACTAATTATTTTGAATTATTTATGGATAAAAATAAGCTTGTTCTTTATATTTTGGCCTTGAATTTTTTGATAACAGATTTATTGAGATGTAATTCATATACGATAAAATCCACCTTCTTTACGCATACAATTCAGTAGTTTTAAAATATTTACAGAGATGTGCAACCATCACCATTAGCTAATTTCAGAACATTTTAATCACCCCCCAAAAAAACCCCATACCCACTCACAGTCTTTCCCTATTCTTCTCTGCCCCCAGCCCCTGGGTAAGTACTAATCTACTTTCTGTTTCTATGAAATTGGCCTATTCTCAGCATTTCACATAAAATGGAATCATACAATAGTGGCCTTTTGTGACTGGCTTCTTTTACTTATGATAATGTTTTCAAGATTTATCCATGTTATAGCATGTTATCTCCAGGCAGTTTTTAATTTGGAAGGATGACTAAATTAATTCTACTAAATCTTCATGGCAGTCGACTTAGTTTTCCTGGCCTAGATATGTTGTCCTAATGTATTTTTAAACTGTGCAGAAGAGGCAAGGCTAGTGGAAGTTAGAATACTAAGCCTGGCCAATTGATAAATATTTACTGAGCATCTACTATGTGCATGGCACAATGCTTGGCCCTTCAGAACAATGCTGTCCAAAAGAAATGTAATATGAATCACAGTAATTCTAAATTGTCCAGTAGCCACACTTAGAAAAGTAAAAAGAAATAGGAGACAACTTTAATAATATATTTTATTTAACCTGTCAAAAATATGATCATTTCAATACATAATCAATATTTTAATTTTTTTTTCCATACTAAGTCTTCTAAATCTGGTATGTATTTTATACTTACAGCACATCTTAATTGGGACAAGCACATTTCAAGTGATCAAAAGCTACATGTGGCTAGGGTTACTGTATTATACAGTGCAACTCTAAAATACAGAAAGAAGGACAGGAAATTCTTTTTCCGACTTCTTATTCTAGTCCTCCGCTTATTTAATGCTCTCCAATTAATACCCAAACCTCACATATTGATATCTTTAACCTTTCATTTGGTAAGAAGGCAATTACCTATTTTAGCAATTTAAGGCAACACATTCAGTGCCAAGCGAATGTTTTAAATAATAAGCGCCACCAGAATTGGAAAAAAAAAAAGTCAGGAAATCGCAGCATTAACCTTCATTAACCAATGCTCCATCAACAAGGTGCAATTATAAAGAAATGGTCTATGGTAAAAAGCACACCAAATATAAATTTTTGCTTGAGAATAAAAGTATTACAAAGTTAAGAAAAAAAGATGTTCTGGTCTACTTGTAGCACAGTCTGTCAAGTAAACCCTGAGAAATCTGAAAGTGGGGCTCCTTGGTTCTCCACATTACTCAGTTGTGGGAATGCAGAAGTACAATCAAGGTCCTGTCTATGTATGGCTGCCTCTGGAGCACTGGCGAATGGCAAAGTCTCAGCGTATAAGAGTGTACTGCGTTGGGAAAGCCTCTGTGCCTGTAGCTCACCTTTCCTGGAAAGATGGGTGAGAAAGACAGAAGGAAGGAGGCTGATAGCTAGCTCCATGCTTTTCCCAGTCTTCTCTTTTAAGCCAAATCTAACCTGAGAAAAAAACTAATCTGGCAAGGTGGTTGTCCCAAACTTAGAGGCTGTTACAGTATAGAAAACCTTTTAGGGCTGGCCCAGTGGCGCAAGGGGTAAAGTGTGCGCACTCTGCTGCAGCGGCCTGGGGTTCGCCAGTTCGGATCCCGGGCGTGCACCAACGCACCACTTGTCAAGCCATGCTGTGGCGGCGTCCCATATAAAGTGGAGGAAGACGGGCATGGATGTTAGACCAGGGCCAGTCTTCCTCAGCAAAAAGAGGAGGATTGGCAAATGTTAGCTCAGGGCCAATTTTTCTCACCAAAAAAAAAAAAAAAAGTGTCCAAAAAAGAAAACCTTTCATATAAGGAGGCCTCAAAGAACCTCAGGTAGTTTCTCAATTTGGATCCCGACTCTGCAGCATAAGGTAAATATCTGAAGCACTGCCCAAAATCCATGAGTTACTTCAGTGGTAGAGCTACTAAATCCCTCTTGGGGGTCCTCAGAATATTCTAATTATAAAGCTAACTCTCCTTGTCTCCTTCTAGTGAGAAAACTATACAGTGGCAAGAACTTACCACCACTGTGAAGCTTTTCTTGGGGGCTCTTCCTCCTCCAGAATCTGGAGTTATCTGTATCATTCACTTGGTATTTCACCATGGGCTGTTTTTATGGCATTCATTTCTTCTAATGATATCTTGAATGGTTAAACTTCATATTTTTTAGTATGTTTTGTCTATCCAATTAGTCTGAATCTTGTGTTTGCCTTTTCTCATATCTCCCACAAAGCAATAAACATAGTTAAATAATCAGTAACTATCCATTTATTTGATTCTTCCCTTTGCCTCCTTTCTCTTCTAGTCTTTTTCCTTCTCTTGGGAAGGCTGGGGCATTTTCTAGCCCATCTCCCCTGAGAAGGAGAAAAGGAGTTAGCATTGTTCCTTCCAACCCTCTGACAAGCAGTGATTGGGAAAATGCCATGATTTACATAATTAACCACTAATTATTTTACCCTCTTCTGAGATATAAACTAGAGGAACTCAGACCTATAAAACAGGTATATTAATCCAACACTCAATTAAAATGTTTTCTATTTTCTAGCTCTATCTGAGCCCTATATAAAAAGGGAAGGATAAATTAGGCTGAATGTGAAGATTGCTTCATCAGGTACAGGCATGTTTTATTTTAATGCAGTATCATCTCCATTTGGTTGTCTTGAAATGTGTATTCTGCTTTCTTCTTTTGACAAAAATTGAGCACACATCATGTGTCAGGAGGTTCACTGGGACATATCAGAGATTAAAAAAGACAAAACTCATGGGGTTTACACATTCTTACACATATCTTCTGCATCATTTATATTTCATGTAGTAAGGCTTCTGTTGACAAATACTGTTATTGAATCATATCTTCATGAACAGAGGTAGTGCTATATATATTAGTTACTGAAAAATCTAAAGTTTAAAGGGAATAGAAATAAATACTGACTTTATCAATTCACCTTTCAGGGAACTACTCAACAAAAACTGAAAAAATCTGAAGTTATGTAATAAAGAATACACAGTAACTCTATAAAGTGAAGAGATTTTAATCTTCCATGGATAGACAGGATAGGTAAGAGTAGTACTGGCTGGTATCTGCTCTAGAGAATAAAGAGACGTGAAGATAAGCTAAGTTTTGAGAGAAGAAAAATAATCTAAAACATAAAAAGAGAAAAAACATCTCCAGTTAAAATGGAATGAAGGACAAAACATTACATCTGTAGAGGAATAAGGGCCAGGAAAATCTGTACCATGAGGATACCAAAAAGAGGGAAATGAAGGTAGAACAGGGAAGGATCTAGAAGTGCAAAGTGGATCCACTATAGATTTTCAACAAGGCAATGGGCCTAAAAAATGTCTTGTTTGGTAGAACTTTATAGGAGGCAAAGCTTATAGTAATGACAACATCAAATAGGTAGTACTCAAAACAGATATATAAGTACCAAGATTCAACTTTTAAATAAGCTAAGCCTTTTCAGCTTTACAGTTAAACAAACAAAAAAATTAAGCCTAGTTCTATTAATAAAGCCCATAGACTCCAATATGTTTTCAAAGCACGTAAAGAATATTCAATCTTTTACCTTGAGGGAAATCAGTTGATCTGCCCACATTTCTATTATAGGAACAAGATGCTCAAATCCACAATCTTGAACAAGCTCTTTATTAAAATGCTGGGCTCCTCCTTTGCTCTGTTTATAAATTATTACTGGAGCTCTTGGATTCTGAACAATTGAATTGATGCTACTCAACACCTTTAAAGAAGACAACGTTTTTAGTTGAAATGTTTATTGTTGTCCTGTGAAAGTGATATATGTTAAAGGAGTGCTTTATATTCAATGTAACATCATTTTCAGAGTTAATTTTAGACATTAAGATCTTTAATAAAATTGACATGTAATGTTTTGGAAGTACAACAGTTTCATCAACATGATTAAACATGTAAGTTCTAATGAGAACCACAGACTTCACAGAAAAACTAAAATGTATTTTTAATTTAATTTAAATGTATTATTTAGATTTGAAAGTAGTTATGAATGACCTGTTATAATCCACATAGGGAAGAGTAATCCAGACATCCTTAGCTGGAGTCCCACATTTCCCTATTTCTATCTCCTCATATTTAAGCTAAATCAGATGGTAAAGGGGCATTTCCTGTTGTTTCATAGCTTCAGTTGAGGTTCAAAGTAAGGACAAGAAAGTCCAACATCTTCTAAAGAGAAATCCTGAAAACATCATGCAGGTCTTGCTAAGAGGTGATCAAACTGATCTTGGATAGCGACCAGTCTATCTAAGAAAATGTTAGAGAATCATTGGACAGGATTCACCAAGACGAGTGTCTTTTAAAGGAATATACAGAACTAGTGAGTGAAAAATGTATTGTTTTTCCTTTCTCCCCATAGAAAACTACAGGAAACTACAGGTCTCCTAAGAATGTGACTTCTGATGCTTATTTACAAGCAGTTTTGTTATTGTTATTTAGTATAAAAGAGTGCATTTCAATATTTCACTTCTATTATATTTAAACTCCTCTTTGAATACCATTGTAATGGAAAAAACAATTAATTCCCCTCCATTAAATTATTAATGAGAGCAGGAATATAGTTCTCCTTCTCCCCCTGTCTCACACCAAAGGTAAGAAGGGCAGCAGAACTCCTAAAAGAGATCAAGGAGCTGATACTAGCTGAGCTTCAGAAGTTTACGGGACAACCCCATTCCATAATGGAGGTGGTAAACCAAGGGGGACTACGTGTATGTCTAGCAGTATGTATCCATACTTTGTAGGAGATTGTTTGCAAAAATTATTGTAATTATTTCTCTTCCTTATATTCTCTCCCTTTTGCAGTGTGACACTGTAGGATTCTCTCATCAAGAAGTACAGTCTATTCTCTACTCCCTGAATCTGGGCTGGTCTTGGGCCTTGCATTGGCCCACAGAAAAGGAAGTAATGGTGTGCCAGCTTGGACTCCAAGATTCAAAGGGTCTTGATTATCTCTGCTCTCTCTCTTTGAACTCTGCTGCCACATTGGCAAGCCCAGGCTAGATGGTAGATGACAAAAGACACATGGCTCAGTCATCCCCATTACCCTGAGCTGATATCCACCCAACTTCCAGAAGCAAAGCCACTTAGCTGACTTGTATCTGATAGCAGGTGCATGAGGGAGCCCAACCAAGATCAATAGAACTGCGCAGCTGACCAAGCACAATAATATTAAAGCGTTATTTTAAGTAATTAAGTTTTAGGAGGGTCTGTGACAGAAAAAAATGAAGTGATATACATATAAAGACAAAGATGGAATAGAGCAAGGAGAGGAGGCAGCCACAAGAGAAGCCTGCCCTTTTATATTGTGGTAAGGTAAGAATATACCCTGTGGTCAAGGAGACACTTTTAGAAGAGAGTCAAGCTTTGCTTTCATGAAAAAAACTACCGATAGCTGGAGGACTCTAGGGGAATACCACTTGAACAGCAGGAGGAGAGGGATTCATAAGAGGTCAGCTGGAAAATGCACTGCCCATAGAATGAATGGTACATTGCCAAGGTCCCTAGGTGGTGGGGAGGAAATAACTGCATACACACACACATACACACGAGCATTCCATGAAAGAGACAAACAGGCAGTATTTGGTCATCAGCCACACAAAGGGCACCAGTGCTAGATTACACCAGCACCAGTCAATAAAGATTCCACCCTCTTGCTTGCTATTCTCACCCAACATCCACCCTCACTGCCAACCCTGGAGAAGCCAGATACAGCAGAGGACTAGGAGAGAAGGTGAAACAATGAGAATAAAGAAACAGATCACACTCCCTTGCCACACTGCTTGTTTGAAGAAGTATAGGTTGGGCAGCAGATAAAGTAGGCATAGAGTAGAAGCTTGGAATTGAATGAGATTGAAATTTTGACTGAGATTTGAATGACTTTTCCTCCTAATTTTTCATCAAGAAAATTTTAAAACATACAAAAAATAAAAAGAATATAAATAATAAACACTATATTAGTCAGGGTTCTCCAGAGAAACAGAACCTATAGGATATATGTGTGTGAGCACGTGTGTGTGTGTGTGTATTTATTTACTATAAGGAATTAGCTCAGGCAATTATGGAAGCTGACAAGTCACAAGATCTGATTGTTCTATTCAGGCCTTCAACTGATTGGATGAGGCCCATCCAGATTAGGGAGGGCAATGTGCTTTACTCAGTCTTCCAATTCAAATGTTAATTTCATCCAGAAATACCCTCAGAGACACACCCAGAATAATGCTTACCAAATATCTGGGTACCCTGTGGCCCAGTCAAGTTAATACATAAAACAGACCATCACAAATACCCATATAATCACTATCTAGATTCAACAATTGTCAACATTTTGCCATATTTGCTCACTCTATCAACCTTTTTAGCTGAACCATTTGAAGAAAATGCAGGCATGATAATACTTCACCCTCAAATACTTGAACATGCATCTCTTAAAGTAGGCATATTTTCCTACAAAATCACAATACCATTACTATACATAAGAAATTGACAATAATTCCCTAATATCATCAATGCCTGCACTGAATTTTAAATATCTTAATATGTATAATATGTGACTATAACCCCCCTGCCAAAAGCTATGATGAGTTCTACCTTATATAACATCCAAGGAGAGGAAAGGGAGACTGAAAACAGCAAGTTTAAAGGAAGAAGAGTAAAAAGCCATTTCCTTGTTTACCACCATCAACTTCAGTCTATTTGATAAATAGTTATACAAGTATAAAGACAAGATACCATTTAGATCTTGAATCTTTGTCCCTACCCTATTCATACTTCAAGCTACAACTCATAGGTCTCCTGGTAATATGACTTTAGATGTTTATTGAGGAGCCTTTTTTTTTAGTTCAAGAGAGTGTATTTCAAGATTTCACTTCTCTTATATTTAAAAAAATCATTTTAATGGAAAAAATTCATTAATTCTCCTCCACTGAATTTTGACAGCAGAGTATATTCCTTCTTATGGCTTATTCACATTCTGATGATTGGCAGCAGAAGACGTATTAACAATGAAGAAACGGAAAAATGACATAAACAATTCCCAGAGAGATGGGAATTAAAAAAAGAAAATTCACAGGGGCCGGCCCTGTGGCTTAGCAGTTGAGTGCGCGCGCTCCGCTATGGCGGCCCGGGTTCGGATCCCGGGCACGCACCAATGCACCACTTCTCCGGCCATGCTGGGGCCGCGTCCCACATACAGCAACTGGAGGGATGTGTAGCTATGACATGCAACTATCTACTGGGGCTTTGGGGGGGAAAAAAAACAGGAGGAGGATTGGCAACAGATGTTAGCTAAGAGCTGGTCTTCCTCAGCAAAAAGAGGAGGATTAGCACGGATGTTAGCTCAGGGCTGATCTTCCTCACAAAAAAAAAAAAAAGAAAATTCACAATAAAGGTCTTATCTTATTTAGAAAGAGTTTGCAGATATTGATAAACTCTTGATATGGATAAAAATATATATATATATACTTTTGTGTGTGTGTGTGCGCGCTGGGAAAGATTCACCCTGAGCTAACATCTGTTGCCAATCTTCCTCTCTTTTTTTTTTCCCTCCCTGAAGCCCCAGTAAATAGTTGTATACTCTAGTTGTAAGTCCTTCTAGTTCTTCTATGTGAGCCACCACAGCATGGCTACTGACAGACAAGTGGTGTGGTTCTGTGACGGGGAAATGAACCTGGGCCAGCGAAGCAGGGCATGCCAAACTTTAACCACTAAGCCATCAGGGCTGCCTCAAGACAGTACATATGTATTTTTAAGGGTAATCATTAGACAAATAGAAAAGAATTAAGATGATGAACATCCTAACTACCCGAAGAGAAAAAAAAAGACAGAAATCTCAACCTAGCAAATGTCAGAAAAAGAACATGCAACAAGAAACCATGTAAATAGAAAACAGAAAGTAAAATGTCAGGAATAAAAGCAGATATACAAATTGGTCTCGATGTCCATAAATGGTTTAATTACCTTGTTAAAGGACAAAGCCTCTCAAACTGAATTTAAGAAACAAAATGAAATGAAAGATATTCAGTTATATACTGGAGACAACAGAGTTATCTAAAACAAAACAGTTTTCAGAAAGGTGCACACACAAATACAGGATACAAGTATTCCTTACCAACTGATAATTTATTACACTGTGATTGAAACCAAGGCTCACTACAAACACCAGTCTCTTTGCCAACTGTTCAATACCTGAAAGTATCTCTGGTCAATTAGGGCCTGCTGCTGGCTATCTTTGCTGGGTGCATCTTTTTTCTCTGTGTCCTCAGCCTTTCTTTGACCAATAAGATTCTGTAATCTAAAGGGGAAAAAAAATCAAGATAATACAAAATGCTTTTCCAGACACTGGATTAAGATGACAAACTGAGCCAATGATCCAGCTACCCTCCCAACAGCTTAAACACACACACTCACACACATACACATACACCCATATATAAACAAAAAAAATTTTTAAGCCATATTGTCATTGGAAAACAAGAAGGTCCTCTCAATAACCACAAATTAGAAGGAATCCCTTCCTCAAAAAATTAAGAATAGAACTACCATACGACCCAGCTATTCCACTGCTGGGTGTTTATCCAAAACATGAAAACAATGAGTGCATAAAGATACATGCACCCCTATGTTCACTTCAGCGTTACTCACAATAGCCAAGACTTGGAAGCAACCTAGATGCCCATCAAGGGATGAATGGATAAAGATGTGGTATATATACACAATGGAATACTATTCAGCCATAAGAAACAATTAAATCCAGCCATTTGTGACAACATGGATGGACCTTGAGGGTATTATGCTAAGTGAAATAAGTCAGAGAGAGAAAGTCAAATACCGTATGATCTCACTCATAAGTAGAAGATAACAACAACAACAAACAAACACATAGAGACAGAGATTGGACTGGTGATTACCAGAGGAGAAGGGGGAAGGGAGGGGGCAAAAGGGATGACTGGGCACACGTGTGTGGTGATGGATTGTAATTAGACTTTGGGAGGTGAACATGATATAATCTTGTACAGAAATTGAAATATAATGATGTACACCTGAAATTCATATAATGTTATAAACCAATGTTACCACAATTAAATTATTGTTACAGCAATTAAAAAAAGAAGGAATCCCTGAAAATAAAAGGGATCAGACTGAAGAAGAAAGCTCTAACTGTAACCATGGGCCCACTAGGACCAGTGCAACTGATCCCATCTTATCAACAGAGTAATTAAGAGTTGTTTTCCAGGAACTGAGAGTCAGCCCCTTGTCCAGTTCATGCCAGTTGAGATTACCAACCCACCAACTGGGCCTACACAAATGCTCAATAAGTGACCCTTTTGATGTCAAGGGGCCAAAAACTCCTCCCTCAGATCATACTAATACCACCATTGTGTGAACATGTATCCTATGAGGAGCCATGAAGCTTGACTACACTTAGTGCAGATCATCAATTACTTCACTTCTCCTTATCTCCAATCATCTATCTCCACACTTCAGACTGCCCTGCCCTTCATCCCATAAATTTTGCTCCAAGCCCTGGATCAGGGAGACAGATCTGAGAGCTTTTGCCTCCTGTCTCCTTCCAGGTTGACCTCACAATAAAGCTTTTTTCTTTTCTCAAAAGCTGATGCTGTAATAATTGGCTCTTAATGCACATCGAGCAAGAGAACCCCAATTTTGTGCGTTAACATAACCACTCCCCAACACTTGCAAAATATAGAATAAGAAAGAACTACAGCAAAGGATGGAAGCAACTTCTAAGATGCTCCAAACTTGGAGGCTACAAATAAGGAGAGCAAGAAGCAATGGGCAGAGCAATTGGTGTGGGCACCATAGCAGCAAGAGCTAAACAGTACGGTCCCTCCTTCTTCATACTCCACTAGTGCTAAAGAACAGACACCAGTGATACCTGGGCCAGTCAAGAGGCACAGAAACCGAAGAAATCACTGTCCCAGGTGGCTATTAGAACTCTGAGGGAAGAGTCTTTTTGCCCAGAAACCTAACTACACATGACTGTATTTACCTAGTAGGAAACCCCTGCCCTTCTCCAAATATTTCTGAAGTCAGGCTGTAGTAGACCTTCCTCCTCCCACTCACCATGCCTTTGAAAAAAGCAGTCTCTTATTAAATTAACCATCTTAAATTTGAGTATGCCTATTAGTTTCCTGCGGGAACCCTGACCCATTAAACTGACTCATTAATGAGCTTGATCTGCTGTTTGTAAAATATAACAGCAATATTCCATCATGTCATTCGCCTGCTAAAAAACAATCAAGGGCTTACTACTGCTTTGTTAACTAAATCTAATCTCCTTCGTTAGCATTTGAATGTCCTAACCCAATATTCCTCCTGACTCCCTTCTTACTGCATCTCTTACTATTACCCTAACTTATCTACTCCAGTCACATGTATTGCCCTTGATCTTCACTCAGTTCTTCTCTGCTATTGAGTCTATGCCCAAAACAAATTCATAAATGGAACTAGCTCTAGGTAAAGAGTCAACCTCCTTCCTCTAGTAGACACAAAGATCTCACAACCCATTTTCCACTTGACGTCTGATGGGGTTCAGGGCAGGCCACCCCAAGATGTGCCACTCTGGTATGAGGATTACTTCGAGCTGAAGACAATAAAGGCTCAGAAGACTCAGAAAGAAACTTTGACCTCCCCCAGACTAACTGCCTAAAAGAATTTAAGATAGAAGGCCTGTCCATCACCATAGATAACTCTGGTATGGACAGACTGGGAGGGTCCTTGCTAAGCCCATTCTTATCAAAGCTCTGAAAACCAAGTAAAAGTAGAAGTTATCCTTTGTAAGAGACATTTACATTTATAAGAGAAATCTCTATTTGTAAAGGTATCTCCCACTCTGTACCAGGAAGAAGGGAGGATGACTTTATCTCTAGAAACTCTTATCAGTGTGGAAGGCAAGGACTTAAATCTGCATATTAACCTTACTCTTGTTTACTGTGCTTTTCTAGTAATCTCCTATAGCTGACTCCTCCCACTCCCAACATCCTCCTTTTTCTTTAGCTGAAGATAGTATTTAAGATGAGAACGTTCAACATTTGGTCGAGTTACCCAGTCTTTCCTGGGTCTCTCCCACGTATAAATGTTACAAAGCTTTGTTTGATTTTCTCCTGCTATTCGGTCCCATGTCAATTTAATTTGTAGCCCAGCCAGACAGGACCCAGAGTGGGTAAAGGATAGTCTTCCTCTCCTACACTTCCCACCTATTTATCATATTCACATACTTTATAGTTTTGCCTAAAGGCAGTGCCAGGGGCACATTATCTAGAATACAAAAGGGACATAGCAAAGCCAATATGCGCTCTAGTGGGAATACATGTAAACTGATACATCTGAATTTAAATGTTAACCATTCCCTTAGGTGAAAATATTTAATTTATCAATGAACTGTTTGCAAGTTTGATTAATAAATATTACACTATGGATATATAACATTTTAGCTATCAGTATAGTAACCTAAATATATAATCATATGTACTAGTTACAGTCACTCTGGGAAATGAAATGTGATTCAACTAACTAGATGAATAAAGATATACCCTCATTTTTTTTTTTTTTTTAGTGAAGAAGACTGGCCCTGAGCTAACATCCGTTGCCAATCTTCCTCTTTTTGCTGAGGAATATTAGCCCTGAGCTAACATCTGTACCCATCTTTCTCTATTTTGTATGTGGGACGCCGCCACAGTATTGGCTTGATGAGCGGTGCATAGGTCCGCACCCAGGATCCAAACCTGCGAACCCTGGGCTGCCAAAGAAGAGTGCGCGAACTTAACCACTATGCCACTGGGCTGACCCCAAGATATACCCTCATTTAACAATGATAATAGCTAACATATATTGGGCGCCTGGTGATGATGATAATTAGTATTTATTGAGAACTTTCTCTATGCAGGAATTCTTCTAAGCACTTCACATATATAAATTTATTTAATCCCATTGTTTTTTCTAAGTTTACTGAAGATAAGGATTAGTAAAAGCCAGGGACTCATGGGAAATGGATCTTTGGTTCACCTAGACTCACAGTAAATATCTGCCATAGCATAACACTCCTGGAAAACTTTGTATTCTGCAAAACCACACATGTCAAAATAACAGGGCTCAGGAAAAAAGTAGTGTTAGAAACCAGACTATTTAAAACTGATGCGGCTTGGTAACAAGAAAACTAACGAAAACAGTAATTAGTACCTCAGGAGATAAGTTAGACAGCTCAAGTATGTCTTGGAGGTTGCCTCAGGGGATATTAAAAATGCACAGACAACAGAGCAGAAATGCTGGCTTGAGGATGTCAAGATTATGAAGACGGAAGTGGAGCTCCTGGCCAAAGAAGATGAGGTGAAAATACGTGATGAGAGATTTTCACATATTGAGGTATATGGGGTAACTATTCTGGTTCAAAACTGATTGGGCTTTAACTAAAAAGCCTGACTTATGGCATATCAAACATACATTGTACATCTGCTTAACCATTAAAGTATGCACTCTCTTAAGATAAGAATGCATACTTCCCCTCCTATACCCTATTGGTAACACCTGCATTAGTCCCTTGCCTAACATCAGGGTCATGTCGACCTGCTAATTTGCAACTGAATACCTCTTTGAAACTTTGATGAATATGTATCCTGGACATGTTTAATGTATGTTCTTTGTTCTAAAAAGATGGCCATGAAAATCCCCCAAGAGTGGCTAAGGGATACTTCACATACTTAGCAGATACTCATTCCATGTAGCCAGCAGCAACAGCTGTGTTTCTTTGTGGAGCCTGGGAAACCCAGAAAACTGCACTTCCAACTTGAAATACAGTGTTGTCTCCTGTTTTCTATGGCCATCTCCATAAGATAAGTTTCTATGTGCAGACACTTGGTAGCTTTTAACTGTGTCTGTTGAAGCCCTACCATGATGTCATGGTGACTTCCATTCTGGAGATGAGGAATGAATTGAAAAGTGGAATACCAACTTTGTTTTAAAAAATAATGCTAATTTAGCCACACTGATACAAAACTCATGTATGCATCAATATGAGCCTCTCAAAGTCGTATGTTCCCTGAGTCCTTTTTCCTCCATTCCTAGGATTTTTTAAATGATTAGGATGAAAAGAAGGATGATTCTCTCCAATCCAGCAGCACCAATGCCAGAACTCTGAAGGCAACTATTTCCCTACGAGAGGAGTCCAGCTCCAGGCCAAATACTACGTGTTATCTTTCAGGTCCAAACCATAGGCAATTACAAAGGCTTTGCCTGGAAAGCCTCCTGGGGGAAGGCTGCCCTCCCCACACCAGACGGGTATACAGCTCATGCATTGCAATCTCTGGAGGGAGTTGCTAACTCAGCCCCCCTAACCCCTCCTTCCCGACTCTCAACTCCTGGGCCAGCCATGCTCACATGCATTTCTGCATTCCTAGCCCAGGTGCCTCCATCCTGAGGCCTCTTTACTTGGCGGCCCTGACTAAGGCACTTTTCACTTCTCCTTATGGGGTGGGGGGAGCCTTAACTAAAACACTTTTCTCCATTCTGACTCAGTATTTTTCCAATCCTAGGCTTTCCCCTCGGCCCATGAAACAGCAGTCTTGTGCGCAGGGATCCCAGACAGTGAGATGTTGCCTCCCATCTGCACTGCATGTCACTGACTGACCCTTGCCATTTGCCATTCCACGAGGAAAAATGGAACACGTAGGAGCCAGCCCTTTTCTTTTTGGCCTCTTGCTTATACTATTGCAGTAAGTAAAGAAAGCCTTGTTTGTTAATTTCAGTTTGGCTCATTGTCTAACTGACCATCTCAACACCTGAACACTCAGGTGTTCAACACTAGTCAGCTCAACACTAAGGTGGCGGGATTCTGATTTTGTTTTCTCCCAGCAAAATACAAATACTACTGAAAAATTAAATGGAATTAGTGTAGTACCTTTGGTTATTTTGCACCCGTAGACCTATTTGATCACTTCCTAGCAACAGAATTTTATAATCTACCAGTTTGTAATACTAACTCAAACAAGAAGAGTTCATGTTTTCCCATGTTAAATTAATAGCCTCATTTGATACTGAAGCTTGGTTAGTTGAAAAGTAACTACACATCTAAAGAAAAAAATTGAGGGCCTGGCCCGGTGGCCTAGTGGTTAAGTTCGGCGTGCTCTGCTTCAGCAGCCCGGGTTCGGTTCCCAGGCGTGGACCTACACCACTTGTCAGTGGCCATGCTGTGGCAGCAACCCCTATACAAAATAGAGGAAGACTGGTAACAGATCTTAGCTCAGGGTGAATCTTCCTCAGAAAAAAAAAAAAAAGAATTTTCTCTAGTTCTAAAAGGGAAAGAGATTCCCCCTCCTTTTCCTGTAGCATTTACTTTGGAAAACTTGTAGTTGTAAATCCTTTCTCTGTCTCTTTAAGAAGTATGTAGTAAATCTTTTTAAGATTTACATAAGCCTCTCACTAATTTCACCTCCTAGAAATGTCTTTCTTGGGAGTCTTGAAACCATATCTTTGAAATGTAGACATCAGGGAGGATGGTGCCTTGTCTCCCTGTCTCTGTTGGAGTTTAGCCTAGGCTCCTGGCTCTAAGTTGTAACTTTCTGCTTGCACCATAAAGATATGAGAAGTTTTATTCTTTCTTTGGACAATGACAATTCACATGTATGTAATGGGTTGTATCTGTCTGTCTATATAAAAGGGTGAGATCTCTTTGTCTTTGCAATCTCTTTAGCAGACTGCCTATAATGAACATCACAGTCTGGCTGAATGTTTATTCAGTAATAGTTAATTTTTTTCTACCTGTAGAGAGAGGATTCAATGGGTTGACAGGAGATTTTATTTTTAATTATTTCCCCAACATCAGTAGTTCTTTGAAAAAATATTCTACCTCTGCCACTGCAGAAAATAAAAATTTTTAAAGTTTTACCTTAAAAAATTTTTTTCATTGGGTGTTTTGTTTGGTTCTAATTATTCGTGTGATGGTTAAAACTGTGAGCTTTGGAGTCAGAATGATTGGGCATGGATCTGATTTCTTTCCAAGTTCTTCTTGTGTGATGTGGGCAAGTTATCTAACATTCCTAAATCTTTGTTTCCACATCTAGATACAACAAAAGTTCCAAAGCTCAAAAAAAACAATAGTTTTTTTTAATTCCAAATTTACATTTCTAAAAATTTAAATTTTTACACAAAATTTATAAACAAATAATTTCTTTAAAATTCAGCAGAAAAATATAGCAGGGATGGGTTCTGAATCATAATTTTAAAGGCTATAGTAAAAAGTCAATTTAAAGACCAGAACCCAAATGAACAACAGAAAATACACATACAGTCAATTCTCATTATTGGTGGTAGTTATGTTCTATAAAGTCACCATAAAAGCTGAATTAGTGAAGACTGAACCATTGCTCCTAGGGGAAATACAGGGTCAGGTTCCTGCATGCCTCTGGTCACATTTTCCTCAACTGATCAAAAACAACTTTGTTTTACATGTGTAAATATTTAAAGACACCTTATTTAATATTTTTGATTCATTAACACGAACTCATGGCTAACAGCACCGTAACTCATGCCTAAAAGAAGTCTGTCTAACACATGAATTCTCTCTGGAAGGTACATCACAGCGTTCTTTTTTCTTTTTCTGAGGAAGACCAGCCCTGAGCTAACATCTACTGCCAATCCTCCTCCTTTATTTCCCTTTTTCTCCCCAAGGCCCCAGTAGATAGTTGTATGTCATAGCTGCATATCCTTCTAGTTGCTGTATGTGGGATGCCGCCTCAGCATGGCCGGACAAGCGGTGCGTCATTGCGCGCCCGGGATCTGAACCTGGGCTGCCAGTAACGGAGCACACACGCTTAACCGCTAAGCCACGGGGCCGGCCCCCACATCACAGCCTTCCTGTGTATAGGAACACTAGACAGCACTTCAACACTATGCTTGGGAGCCATCTTGGAGAAATCACTAACAAAAAGCACAAAAGTGCAAAAAAAAAAAGTAACACTATGACAACAAAAAGGATGCTTGTTTACAGTATTAGAGCTGAAACAAGAGGGCAGAGCATCACCTTGCTCAACAGCTGGAAATGTGTGTGTTGGGCACGTCCATGAACGATTGTGAAAGTGACACAAGTATTGATTTGGGGATTAAAAACAAATTTCAGCAGGTATGCAAATTCACAAGTATGGAATCTGCAAATAATGAGGACTGACTGTATATCTCTACATATATGTAAGTGCATGCATGTATATGTGTGTATATCTTCACTAATATACTTGCCTTGAAGTCAATAAGATTTCTTTGAAGGGGATCAGGACATGCCACTCCAAAATATGCCACTTTGACAAAAGAAATGTTTTAAGCTGAAGGAATTTAAGAAATAGCACGTGCAGGAAGAACTCTCTGACCTCCCACTTCTCTCCTGAAGCTGATCCCAAGATTCTCACGTGACAGGTGCCCTCCCTGTACCCGGAGGAAAGGAGCATCTTTATCTCTAAAGACAGAGGGACGCCAAGAGGAATCCACGTTTTCCCCAGTTTAGCACCCTTAGCTCATACCCTTTTGTCCTATCACGTCTTTTCATAACTTTCCATTCTTCATCAAACCTAGTACAAAAATGCTCAGGCTTAACTGTTTCTTCAGGTCTTCATTTCCTTATGAAGGCTCCCATGTCACATAAAACCTACATCAAATAAATGTGTATGCTTTTCTCCTCTTAATCTGTCTTTGTCAGTTTAATTTTCAGGTCTAGCCAGGGACCCTAAGAGGGTTGAGGAAATGTTATTCCTTCCTATAGCTTCTCCTCTGACTTTTTACCTCTCTACATCCTCCTTTTGCCAGTTGCTTCTCAACCAATTTTCCCATCTCAGTTAATGCACCAACAACTACCTAGTTATTCAGGCCTAAAACTTAGGTGTCTTGATTTCTTTCCCCCCTCAGCTGCCTATATCCAATCCATCACCAAGCCCTATCAGTTCTACCTCCAATATTCCAAAGACTTCTCACCACCTCCACTACTGCCCCCTGTGGCCATGTCACCACCACCTCTTGTCCAAATTCACACAATAGCAACTCTCACGCTATTTCACATTTAGTACTCATACTATATCAAAATTGTCATGTTTATTTTTTCATTGTCCTTCTCCCTTCACATAATCTCCATGAGGGCAGGGACCTTTTCTATTTGGTTTACTACTATAATTCCAGTACCCAGAACGCCAAGCAGATAGTAGGAGGTACTACAGATACCCAAAATGTCAAGCAATAGTTGGAAGAGAAAAAATATTAATTGAATGAATAAATGTAGCCTTTCCAAATCTTCCACTTCTCTTTTCTTTTTTAGTTTTCCTTCCCTACTATCTTAATTTAACTCAATATGTAACTCCTGGATGTCCAGAATACTTGCCTTTCACTGTGGCATGTGTTGCCAGAGGGAGGAGGAAACAGCTGCCACTGAAAACTGAATCAACATATGCTAATATAACTGATTTAATATATATAATGTATATATTAACTCATACAGTTTTTAAAATACTTCATCCCAATGCTTCCCACACTACTTCAAGTCCCATTCCGTTGAATCAAAGAGTACACAGAGATAATCTTCAGAAGATACTATCACTACTTGAGAACCAACTTTCTGAAATTTCTCTGAGTATGTGCTTTTCAAAGTCAAGAAGGTACAAGTGGTGGATATGAATGGCTCACTACATTCATTCTGGTACTCTTAAAGTGTGATGAGGTTATATATTATATAACCAGGTCGTGACTACCATCAACAAAAATTTGGGGCTTGTCATCTCTAATTTCAATGATTCTCTTGCAAGCAATTCCTCCATGATTTCCACAGACAACTTTATAGTTAAAATCTTTGCCCTTTACTACTTCAGGCAACTACCTTTTTCATGATCTTATTTAAGATGAATATACAGCCAAACCCAACACAGTAGAAACTGTTTTTAAACTGTGCAACTAGAAATAATCCTTTTTAACGTCATTTCCCCACCATCATGATATAAGCTGATAGGTAATAAAAATAATAAAATACAAAACCCTAATAAATTTGTAATTTTGGTAAAATATAATTACTTGATGTTTTTCTTAAGGGCTTTCTCCAGTTTCTTCACCTGTTGTTTATAAAGTCTTAATTCATGCTGAGTGGGCCTGCAGAAAATAAATCATGTTGAATGCATTCAATCTTTTGAGAAAAAATATATTTAATAATAAACAATAGAGTATACTTTGATACTTGTCACAAATATGCTTATTAAAATTCTTAAAATATTCATGACTGCAAATGAGGTGTTTATTAGCCATTGGATTTCTTCTTCTGTGTAGCCCCTGTTCAAAATATTTTACCCATTTTTATCAGTGTTAATCTATTACTTGTTTTTATAGTGAAATATTTCAAATATACAGACAAGACTAGAGAATAGTAAAACAAATACTGGCGTATCCACCACTCGGCTTCATGACAGTTGAATAGTAACAGATTTGTTTCAAATCTTTTTTCAACTAAAATATTATACATATACTTAAAATTCCACGTATGTCCCTCATTAATGTCATTCTTCTCCTTACCATACTACAGGTAACCACTATCCCAAATTCATTGTTCATTATTCTCATGCATGTTTTAAAATTTTTACTACATACTTATATAACCATAAATTTACATATTATCTTGCCTGTTTTTAAATTTTATATAAATGGTTTATAGTGTAGATACCAGTTTCTCTTCATTAAAGTATAAGCTTTACGAGAAAAAGTTATTTGTCTTGGTCATTATATTATATCAGAGCTTAGGACAGTGTCTAACTTATAATAGGCATTCAACAAATGTTTATTGAATGAAAAAAGTCTCGACAATGTTCATTCCTTATTACTCACTGTCAACATCTAGAGTGTCATCCTTTCATGGTAGTATGCTGTATAAATACAGTAGCCCACCCTTATCTGTGGTTTTGCTTTCCACAGTTTCAGTTACCAATGGTCAACTGCGGTCTGAAAATATTAGATGGAAAATTCCAGAAATAAACAATTTATAAGTTTTAAATTGCTTGTCATTCTGAGGGGCGTGATGAAATCTTGTGCTGTCCCGCTCCGTTCCACCTGGGATGTGAATCATGCCTTTGTCCAGTTGTATCCACGCTGTATACGCTACCCAATCTCCCCATTAGTCACTTAGTAGCCATCTTGGTTATCAAATCGACTGCTGCAGTATCAGTTCAGTACTATCCACAGTTTCATGCATCCACTGGGGGTCTTGGAATGTATCTCTTGAGGATAAGGGGGGACTACTGTATACCCTTCCGTCCTATAACATTTAAACTTTTTCGTTTTCTTCTCCCACAACATAGGGGATAAGATGAAATAACAAGTCATTCTAAAGTAATTTGTGAATGGGAAACCTGCTGGTATAAGACTGAATATACTCTGAATTCCTATCCAGTTTTATCTTCTTCAGTGTGGACTCCTATTTTCTCATTTCCCTTGTCTACCTGTAGGTTCTTGCTCCTTCCATCATATGAGAGACAACTGACTAAAATGAGTATAAGACTTTGAGGTTCCCAAGATTAGTTTTAAAGTAAAGGGGCTAGAATGATTCATTTAACATTTCAAATTCCAATATGTGTTTATTTTCCAAAGGTTAAATAAAAATGATTTAAGTTTCTCTCACCTGGTTTCCAAATCCTTTTGGAGATTCAGCTTTTCACTTAAAAGTGTATCAATCTTGGATTTCGATTCCTTGAGTTGATTCTGTAATGACTGCAACACATTTTATAGAAAAATAGGTAACTTTCCTAGGAGATTATTAATTTACTTTATAAAAACGTATTTATTAGTCATGCAGTCCCCATACCATTAGAAGGCCTTTACAAGTTGGTGGGGCATCCAGACTTCTGTAGTCTTTTTCTTCTTCTGACTGACTTTCATCTTCTTTATATTGCCTATGAAAAGATATATGCAGTGTACTTCTTATGAAAAATCTATCTTCAAAGAAAAAAATGTAGCTAACAAATTAAATCAATCCAATAAGAGTTTGATAACCTAAATATGAATTAAAATTTAAGCCAAATTTCCTACTTGTTTTCTTTTTTTTTTATAATTTTATTTATTCATTTATTTTTTCCCCCAAAGCCCCAGTAGATAGTAGTTTGTCATAGTTGCACATCCTTCTAGTTGCTGTATGTGGGATGCGGCCTCAGCATGGCTGGAGAAGTGGTGCGTCGGTGTGCGCCCGGGATCCGAACCCGGGCCGCCAGCAGCGGAGCACGCGCCCTTAACCGCTAAGCCACGGGGCCAGCCCCCTACTTGTTTTCATAGAGAATGGTATTAGAACATTCTACTACCTAATATTATAGTATATATCTGTTCACTATCACCTTAATTAGAATGTAAGATCCATGCGGACCAGAACTTCGTCTTGTTCACCATTATACCTCACTGCCTAGAAGAGCAGGGGGCATAAGAGAGGATGAAAAAAACACTTGTTGAACGAATAAACAAACAAAGCACACTGTTTTTTCCTTCTAGTACTTTTAGGTCACCAAAAAAAACCTACATGAAAAAATGCAGCATATAAGTGGACAAGGCAACAGATTTAACAGTCCCGATTCAAGTCTTGACACCACCATTAACAAGCTGTGTTATCTCAGTAGGTCAATCTGTCAGAATTTGTTTTCTCATCTGTCAACCAGAGATAATATCTGTGACATCCACCTCACAATGTAAAATATTTTTTTGTTAAACACAACTTTATTGTTCAGGACTACATTCCATTTTGTTACATCACATTAAGATACTACTGTTGTAGCCTAGTGTGCACTGGGTGCGTGCGTGGTTTGTAGTACTACATACAAACACACCACCAGTCTAGCAGTGTCAATAGACTGATTCAGTTCGAATGACTTTTTTTTCCCTATACACCAATATGACATTGTAACATGTTTATTCTGATACTGAGTTTATGCTGAAAACTATATAAATTACAATTGATAATTAAATTGGTATATTTATTATTTTAATTATAAAAATTAAACTATTTTTCCTAGTTTAAAAAAATAATTATGGACAGATTTTTAACAGAATCAAGTGGAGATGATAACGTCTGAGACAGTACAACTGGAACAGTAAAAAAAAGAGATTGAAAGAAGGTATGTCACAAATTTCCTAATGAATGCTATTGTAATTTGCTGCAGAACAAAATGAAAAAGCTGTGGGTTCAAAAGTGACAAAAGAAAAAACAGATCAATTGGACTTTATAAAATTAAAAAATCTTTGAGCTTCCAAGGACACCATCAAGAAAAAAAAAAAGACAACCCATCAGAAGAAAATATTTGCAAATCTGACTAAAAACTTGTATCCAGAATACATAAAGAATTCTTACACCTCAACAATAAAAAGACAACTCAATCTAAAAATGGGCAAAGGACTTGAATAGGCATTTCTCCAAAAAAGATATGCAAATGGGCAATAAGCATACGAAAATATGCTCAACATCATTAGTCCTTAGGGAAATGCAAATCAAAACCAAAATGAGATACCATTTCACACCCACTAGAATGGCTAAAATTAAAAAGACAGACAATAACAAGTGTTGATGAGGATGTGGCAAAATTGGAACTCTCATACATTGCTGGTAGAAATGTAGGAGAAAATGGAAATGTAAAACACAGCCATTTTGTAAAACAGATTGGTAGTTCCTCAAAATGTTAAATATTTAGTGCTACCATATGACTTAGCAATTCCACACCTAAATATATATCCAAGAGAAATGAAAACATATGTCTACACAAAAACTTGTAAATGAATGTACTTAGCAGCATTATTCATAATAGCCGAAAAGTGGAAACCACCCAAGTGTCCATCAAAGGATAAAATGATAAACAAAATGTGGTATATCCATTCACTAGACTATTATTCAGACATACAAAGGAATGAAGTACTGACACATGCTATAATATGGGTGAACCTTAAAAACATTATGCAAAGTAAAAGAAGCCAGTCACGAATGATCATATACTGTGTAATTCCATGAATGTCCAGAATAGGCAAATCCATAAAGACAGAAAGTAGATTAGTGGTTGCCTAGCGGTAGGGTTACAAGGGGGTAGGGGTGCAGGGTAGGGAGGAGATGGGGAGTGATTGCTAATGGATATGGGGTTTCCCAATGCGGTGATGAACATGTTCTAAAATTGACTGTGGTAATGGTGACACAACTCTGGGAATATACTAAAACCAATGAATTGTACACTTTAAAATGGTGAATTTTATGGTATGTGAATTATATCTCAATAAAGCCGTTACTTTAAAAACGTTGTTTGTTACATAAAAAACATCTTAAGATAATAAAGTATATAATGTTAAGAGGCATTTTCAGCAAATACATTGTGAATTCGATAGTTTCCTCTCAACAGTCAAAAAAGAATCCTAGTCACAAAAACCAGAATTAACCATCCAATAAATACTTTTAAAATAATTTTTTAGCAGAATCTGAGCTTATAACTTAGGCCAGCTATAATTTTGAAGTCTTGCACAAAAACAGAAACTGTTTTAGACGTAAAGATGGTAAAATAAATGATTTCAGTTATGGAATTTTGTTGGAAAATTATGAGGAAACAAGTAAAATATATTTTATAAAAACTGAAAGATCTTCAATTAAGCCCACAAACAACTGCCTATAGAATACAAGACCTTTCTTATAATATCAAAGATCAATTGATTCAAAATTTGAAAAACTGCAAGTACTTTATTTTAGATGAGTCATGTGCCTAATTAATACTTTTGGAATGTTTTGTCTCAAAGAATTTCAAAATTTAGTAAGAAATGTTGTCAACTTGAGGCCTAAAAAATCAAACTTGGGGGCTGGCCCTGTGGCATAGCGGTTAAGTGCACGTGCTCCACTGCTGGCAGCCCAGGTTTGGATTCCGGGCACGCACCAACACACCACTTGTCAGGCCATGCTATGGTGGCGTCCCACATAAAGGGGAGGAAGATGGGCACGGATGTTAGCCTAGCGCCAGTCTTCCTCAGCAAAAAAAGGAGGATTGGCAGATGTGAGGGAGGGCTGATCCTCCCTCACAAAAAAAAAAAAAAAAAAATCAAACTTGTGGTGTATGTGTTTTTGAATTTTATATACCTGTCAAAGAAGAATTTCAGCTAGATATGAAGAAAATCATTTTTCATCACAATGAAAGGTGCTCCAGTTTTATTAGGTCAAAAATCTAGATTTATTGGAATTTTTAAAAAGACAAACGCTTCTCTTATTGCTTTGTTATACTGTATAATACATATTGGAAATATTTATGCTCAGTTTTCTAAAGCAGACTATGAAAAGTGTCCTTGATACAGTTGTTAAAATTATTCAGCACATCTGGAAATGCTATGCCAGTTTGTGGAACTGCTGAAACAAACAGAAGACAATGAATTTAACGATCTTGTGGTTTTTGCCAATGCTTATTGGTTGAGTCATGGGAGAGTTACAAAGATTTACTGTAGGGGGCGCCCCCCGTGCAGTTAAGTGCGGCGCGCTCCGCTGCTGGCAGCCCAGGATCGGATCCCGGGTGCGCACCGACGCACTGCTTGTCAGGCCATGCTGTGGCGGCGTCCCACATAAAGTGGAGGAAGATAGGGATGGATGTTAGCTCAGGGCCAGTCTTCCCCAGCAAAAAGAGGAGGATTGGCATGGATGTTAGCTCGGGGCTGATCTTTCTCACAAAAAATAAAAATAAAAAAAACAAAGATTTACTGTAGTGTTAACCTGAATTCAATATTTTTTTGAAACAAAACGAATGCTTGCCAAATGTTCAATAATCAAAGACGAAAAATGGTAGCGTGATTTATATTTTCTCATCAATATCACTCACTTCAGTAAGCTAAATTTGAAGCCCCAAAGAAAGGAAAAGCATATCTGTTACTTGCTGATAGGTATGAGAATTTATATTGAAATGCAATCTTTCCATAATATAAATCAATAATATTGATTTTATACATTTTTCTAATACAAATCAATATGTAGAAGATTTTAGTTTTAATCAGCAGTGCATGTAAACTGGCTGTAAAAATCACAAGAAAACTGAAAGAATTTTTGGTTGCTATTGATAGATTTAGAGTCGCTTTTCAATTTTGCAATACCCTTCTGAATTAAATAAGAGTTAACAAATTTATTGGATATAGTTTTGAAACAGATATGTCTTTGCAAGTCAAATCAATTATTTCAAAAAAATGAACCAGTTTTGTAAATGTGGATGCAAATATCAAAGGAAAAAATATTTTTATACTTGATACAGTTGCTAGATAACTTTTAGGATGTTTAGAACTACTTCGGTATGTAAATCTATTTTTCAACTGTAAACTTCATGAAATCTAAATACAGATCAAATATTTCTGATGAAAATTTAGTGTCTGAATTGAGATGTGCTAGAAGTTAAAATATGCACCATATTTCAACGACTTAGTATGAAAAAAAGAATGTGAAATATCTCATTAATAATGTTATTAATCAATTAATCAATACATGTTGAAATGACAATATTTTGGATGTTAAATAAAATATATTAAAATTTATTTCAGGGCCGGCCCCGTGGCTTAGTGGTTAAGTGAGCGCGCTCCACTGCTGGCGACCCGGGTTCGGATCCCGGGCTCGCACCGACGTGCTGCTTCTCCGGCCATGCTGAGGCCACGTCCCACATACAGCAACTAGAAGGATGTGCAGCTATGACACACAACTATCTACTGGGGCTTTGGGGGGAAAAAATAAATAAATAAAATCTTTAAAAAAAAAAAAAAATAAAATAAAATAAAATTTATTTCATTGGTTTCTTATTTTTTAACTTGGCTACATTAAAATGCCAAAATTATACATATTACATTTCTGTCGAAGAGTGTTGTACTAACACATCCCTCAGACCTAAAACACAAGCTAGCCTTAAACAAATGACCGACCATTTTAGCAAAGATGGGTGATAAGGATGACTGAGTAGCTCCTATATAACACAGTACTAAGATAAATGTTATATACAAACTATTTCACATTTAACAGGTGAGGAAGTAATGCTTAGAGGGGTTATATAACTTGCTCAGTCACTCAAATAGTAAGTACTAGTAGTGGGATTCAAGTCGAAATCTCTCAGGCTCCAAAGCCTATGCACTCACATCACTCCCTATATATACTTGAAAATACTTGCCATTATGGCTACATTTGTGCTCAAGAGAAACCTAATCTACGATTATAGTAGAGGAGGGCAATTTTAAATGTATGCAGACCTAAAGGGAAATATATTTCCGTGAAGAATCCTCACTTTCTTTTTCTATAGTCCTTTATTTAGAATGGACAGATTTTGTGGTTTTATGTAAAAACACAATTCTAAGCATGCCTCAAACTCTCATTTAAACATGGGATCCCCACAGCCAAATTCCTCCCCACCCTTTCTCCAATGGCTTCTAGAAGCCCCTCCAGGAGGCGCCCAGTGTTGAAGATGGTGCTCTTTAGCGATGGAGAGAAAGAGCAAAACTAGAGAAATCCTGTCTTATTTTCTTCCCTAATCCAAATGCAATCATGTCCTGGAGACCAGGAGTGAACCTCAAAGCCATTTGCTTCCATTTCCCAAGACCATTTTAAAAACTTCTATTTGAAGAGAAGGATGGAATTAGACAAGGGGGCTTCACTTAACTTATTCACTATAGAACTATTTTCCCTGGGGTAACTTGTCAAATGTCTCTGACACTTCTGAAGAAACTCAATCTGAGCCTTGTAGGTTCTACTCCTGTTACTCTCCTTGGCCCTTTAATCCTATCTACCAAGCCAAGGAAATACTAACAGAAATAGCTAGCAATATATTCCAAGTAATCTATATTGATGTAGTAACATTGGGTAAAGAAAAGAAAAGTAGGTAAAGTAACATAGCTGATAGCCTATCATTTTAAAATTTACTTTTCGTCTTTTTCAGAGAGTGTAGCATGTTTGCAGTTTTCTAAGATTTCCAACTTAATAACCCTTGTATTCCCATATCTCCTGGCCCGATGGCTGCTTCCTTTGCTTTCCCAGAGTTTTCTCATGTATGGAGGCAGAAAGGAATACTAGTCCATAGTATTCAGAAACTGCCCTTCACAAGTCCCTCCTTCTCCTGTGCTTCCTGTTTATCCCACTTAGGCCTCCAAATCCTAGCTTGTCTTCCAAATCCTAGCTTGTCTTCCCTCATTTTCTCTCTTCTTTCACCCCTTTCATCTTTCAACTCTGTCATCTTCTTTTCTTTAGTAATATAATATTTGTCAATTATTACACCCTCCTTTTATAGTTCTGCTTATTCAGGTGATACTAATATCCTATGAGTAGATCTCAAAATCTACCTTAATGTTGCTACAAACTCATTATCAAGTTAGTACTCACTCTTAGAAAGGAGACTGAGTTTATAAACTGTTTAGTCAATGAACCCTGAAAAACCCTTTCCTTAGGAGAGACTCTTCATTGCCACAAAGTTTAAATGACCTAATTTTCTCATCTCTTAGATTATTTATAATGCAGCTCCTATTTTCTTCCTATCTCCTTCTTCCTTAATGAGAGATATTCAATCCAAATATCTGACCTGAGCATAGTTTGTATAGGCCAAAGTATTTCACTTCAGCTAGACCAGTGATGACAGAATTAAGTGAAAAAGTAATTCCTTTCCTCAAAGCTTCTTATTCCTCAACCAGATTTTCACTACGAATTCATGACAACCAAATTCAACACTACCACCTCCAAGGGCCTCAATCCTTTTATCATTTTTAGTCTGAGAACTCCAGTTTGCACAACTTCGGAGGCAACCTCTCACACCATATTGTACCTGAAAGACTTCAATGACGGCCATGTTAAATCTTCTCTACACTCACTAAAAATCCCAAACTCTCTCTCTTCACCATCTAGATCAGCAGTCAGCAAACTGCTGCCTGAGAGCTACATCTAGCAGGCTGTGAGTTTTTATAATTAAAGTTTTATGGAACACAACCATGCCAACTTATTTACATATCCTCTATGGCTGATTTCATGCTACAACAGCAGAGTTGAGTAGTTGCAAGAGACTATATAGCCTAAAATATTTACTGTTTGGCCCTTTACAGAAAAAAGTTCACCAACCACTGAATCTAGATTAAAATTTACTAAAGACATAGCTCCAAAGTTGCAATTGATATTCCATTTGGACTATATATTTTTGTTAAAGGCCAAATTTTGCTTGCCAGACTCCATCTTTTTTGTGTGTGTGTGTGAGGAAAATCAGCCCTGAGCTAACATCCGTGCTAATCCTCCTCTTTTTGCTGAGGAAGACCGGCTCTGAGCTAACATCTATTGCCAATCCCCCTCCTTTTTTTTCCCCAAAGCCCCAGTAGATAGTTGTATGTCATAGTTGCACCTCCTTCTAGTTGCTGTATATGGGACGCGGCCTCAGCACAGCCAGAGAAGCGGTGCGTCAGTGCGCGCCCGGGATCCGAACCCGGGCCGCCAGTAGCGGAATGCGCGCACTTAACCGCTAAGCCACGGGGCCGGCCCTTTAATATTTTTTAAATCACTGAGTTAATTGTGAACATTAAAAATATGATTTCATTTATAAATCTAACCTAACTTCTCCCGAAAAACCAGCAGATCTAGCCACACTGGGCTCACATCCCTGCATGGCATGGACTGGCTAGAGTGTGTAGTAACTGCCCCCTTAAGACCAACGGACAAGTGGTACACAGCTCTCCAATTTGCCATAGTCCCCTCCTAACCAGCTTCACTCATTTTCATTATTTTCTTAATTCTGTGAGCATAAGAGTTTGCAAGCTCTCAAGCCATGAAGTTCTTCATTTTCCTTCTTTTTACTCTTATATACTATAAAGTTATAAGAGTAACTTGTTCATTTTAACGTCAGCTTGGCTAGGCTACGGTGCCCAGCTGTTTGGTCAAACACAAGGCTAGATATGCTGTGAGGTATTTTTCAGATGTGATTAACATTTAAATCAATAGACTTTGAGTAAAGCAGATTACCCTTCATAATGTGGGTGAGCCTCACGCAACCAGTTAAAGGCCTTAAGAGCAAAGACTGAGACTCCCAAGAAGGAAGGTATTCTGCCTCCAGACTGCCTTCAGCTTCAACACTGCAACATCAACTCTTCCCTGGGTCTCCAGCCTGCAGGCCTGCCTCACAAATTTCAGATTTGCCAGCCACACAATCGCATGAACCAATTCCTTTAAAATAAATCTCTCTCTATATATAAAGGTATCTCCTATTAGTTCTGTTTCTCTTGAGAATTCTGACTAATACACACATACCTATAACCCCATCACCCAATTTTTCTGTATTAAAGGAAAAAGTGCCTTCTTTCTTTCCAGGGAAAATGATGTTTTTTCATTCATTTATAGCTTACCCTTGGTCCAATATGTGAATGACTGCTCTCCATAGGTTATGACCTCTACTTACGAATATACCAACAAATCCCTTGAACTCCAGCCAAACTGGCTTAATTACAGTGCCATAAAAAAAGTCTACACTTTATATCTATGCACTTTTGCTCACAGCATCTAAGCAGTCTAAAATGGCTTTTTTTTTCCCCCTTTCTGCTTTCCCAAATATTATCCTTCACATTCAAGCACAACCTCCATCCGCTTTGTAAAGGCTTCCCTAGTCACTCCAACCAAAACTAATTTGTTACTGTTCCAAACTCTTATATCACTGTCTGTACAATCTTAGTAATTACTGTCTTTTGACATTATGTATTAGTGTTTTTCAGTCTCATATTACTTTTCTTAATTATTAATGTGTTCACATTTTATCTTCCTTACTAGACTGTAAGCTCCTAGAAGGTAAGGATCATATCCAAAATCTTCTCCTACCTCTACAGAATCTATCTAACACCTTGTCTACCACCTAAAAGACACAGTTCCATTTGGAAATCAGAAGGTCCCTGAAGTTCCCTGATATAACACTGCTTTCTGAATAGAATCAAGCAAGAGGTTGCTCTACAAGTAGCTGTTCTTTTGTCTTCCCTTCTTCCCTTTTTCACTTCTTTCTTCCCTTCTTCCCTCCACTCTGCTCTCCTTTTTTAAGAGTCCCCAAGGTGCTAAAAGGAATCAGTAACTAGCACAGTCTGCCATTGGTCCTGCTGAGTTTCTGGAAAGTCATTATTCTTGGGGCAAGAATATTAGAATGTAGACTTGATGAAAGCGGAGAATTTATCTGCTTTGTTTATTATGGTATCCTCAATACCTAAAACAGAACATGGCACAAAGTAGGTGCTCAAATAAGTATTTATTTTTTAAAAGAACTGTTTCATCTATAAACAATGAAACAGAATAGCTACTGTTTTAACGACCTCACATTAAAGCACTCTAGATTATTTGGGCTTTGATATCCTTCAGCTATTTCAGGTTAGTCAACGACCATTATTTTAATCTTTATCCTTATTTCTTTAATCAGAGGTGACAAGTGTGTTTTTACTCTATATACGTGATTTTTCACTATGACATTTTATCTTTAGTTCACAAATCTGTATGCTAATTAGGTTTCACTTTGGTAGGCAGCTAATCTAATCCTATGCACTTTGTGGATATACTCAGTAAATATCCAGTAGCTAGATGACATCAGTAGAACAAATTATAACACTTCACCAAAATAAAAAGTAAATACTATTTCTTCTGTGACTAATACTTTGGTGATTATTAAATATACATATTTTAATATAAATGCAATAACACATTTTAATATAAGTGGTAAAATATAGTCTTCAAGATCTTTATAAAGAAATAAATTCATAGGTACATATTAGATAGATTTCCAAAGCATATTTAGTTTTAAAAAGCTATAAAACCTTCTGGTGTGACTCGTGACCAATAATAACTTTAAAAATTGTAACACACGATTAGTCATACCTTTGTTCATGAAATTTTCTAATTTTAGATTCATAGTAATCAATTAGGCAAAGCAACCTAGAAAACAGAAGATAAATTGAATTATTTTCAAAATGTGATGTTGGAGCATTTACTATTCTCTCTGCATAATTTCAAATTACAATGATAAACATACAGGTTATCTAGTAAGTTTATAAAAAATTTAAGTGATTTTTGCCAGAAGCAAGTATTATACTAAGCCAAGTATTTATATTAATCTCAAAGTATAGCTTTTAAAATAAACACAAACATTATATCTCAACATATTAAATGCATATTCTCCTTGTCCCAACAGTTCTACCTCCAGCAATCGCTCCCAAGTAATATTTGCAAGGGTTATAACTCAAGAAGAACAAAGCTGTTTGTTGCACCATTATTTAGAAGAGTGAAAACCTAGAAACAATCTAAATATTCTCCAACAAGAGAAAAGTTAAATAAATAATGACACATCCATACTTTAGAAAAGGATGAAGCATTACAAGAAATAATGTAAACTTGTATTTCTAGCTACATATCAATTTATGTAGCAAACATTACTGTCTATCCAAGACGGTATGAGGAACTCTTTTGCAGAGATAAGCAAACACTCTGTTTTGAGTGACAATGCGCTCTTCTTCCTCCTTCCTTAATCTATAGATATCCTTTTGCAAAGAAGCAATAGTCTCTTGTTGCTCCATTCGTATCTTCTTATAATGCTGACATTTTGCCTGTAAGAAATTTTTCAAAAAACATAATTAGGATATGTACATCTAGGACATGCTAACAATATTGTACACAAAGCCATCTTCACAGTTTCTATCAAGCTGCTTCTTTCAAGAACTTCAGTATTGAGGCTGTTTTTAAATGGGTGCAAGCTCCAGGAACATCATGTCATAAACACAAAAAATATAACAAGTAAAATAAGTGTAAAATGAGGAAAAAATAGCTTATAATTGCATGCATTCAAGGTTTCAGAATTAGTAAAGGAACTTAAGATTCTCCACAAAACTGGCATAATTTTATGTATAGGTTTAGATGAAAACAATAATCAGGAAGGGACCAATATTAAGGATGCTACAAAGAACCAAGAATTAAAATTAAGATTCTTAAGTGATCAATGATAATTTAAGATTTCAGGTGGTTTAATCAACTTAGGCATTCACACAATGTGGGAGACTGCAAACTCGAGTAAGCCCCTAACCAGGAAGTTACTAAGAAACAACATATATCCCAAGATTTATACAAGGGAATATAAATCTTGGACACTCTCTTCCTTGTCTTCAGTGAAATATCACTGGCCTGGTTTTCCTTTACTCCCTAGTTTCTATCCCTCAGTGTCCTTTGAATGCTCATTATCAATCGCACCATCATTATGAGTAGTAATATACTTTTTATAAAGCTCAGTGAGAAACCCTTTCCCCTGCTGGCCTGCACATTACTAAGACATATCACTTTCAGAAGAGGATGCCAGGTCTAAACACATGTTCACCTGCCCATAGTGTCAAGTTTGCTGAACCTGAGAGACCCTAAAGGGGAAAGGGGACTCAGCTTCTGGTACCATACCATCTCCCAGTAACCACTGGCTACACCTGGAATTGATCCTCTGCCTTAGGCTCATCCTGGAAGCCAGGCAGAAGCTCTACAGCCAAGTGACATGGGTTCCAGTTCCACCTCTATTTATAAATTACCTGTGAAACGAGAACTAATAGTTGAGTTTTGCAAGGTTGGAGGTATACGAGCAATATACAAGAATCAATTGTATCGGTCCTAAGTCATTCTATGAGGCCAGCATTACCCTTGATAGCAAAGCCAGAAAACACAAGAAAAAAGAATCACAAACCAACACCCCTTATCAACCCTTTATAAACACTGACGCAAAAAATCCTCAATAAAATACCAGAAAATCAAATTCAGCAGCATGTTAAAGGATTATACACCATGACCAAGTGGGATTTATTCCTGGAATGCAAGAATGGTTCAATATATGGAAGTTGATCAATGAAATACACCACATTAACAGAACGAAGGAAAAAAACCATATGATCATCTCAACTGATGCAGAAAAAGCATCTGACAAAATCCAACACCCTTTCATGATAAAAATGCTCAACAAACTAGGAATAGAAGGAAACTATCTCAACATAATAAAAGCCATATATGAACAACCCACAGTGAACATCATACTCAATGGTGGAAGACTGAAAGCTTTTCCTCCAAGATCAGGAACAAGGCAACAATGCCTGCATTCACCACTTCTATTCCACATAGTAGTGGAAGTCCTAGCCAGAGCAATTAGGCAAGAAAAAGAAATAAAAGCCATCCAAATTGGAAAGGAAGAAGTAACATTATCTCTGTTTGCAGATGATATGATCTTATATGCAGAAAACCCTAAAGATTCCACAAAAAAAACCCTGTTAGAACTAATAAGTGAATTAATTAATAACAGGAAGGAAATATTTTGTGTTACTACAATTTTCAGTAGTAAATAAATGTATATGGAGAAAAAAAAATAAACATGGAATTAAAATACACAACAATAAGTTGGGGAGTAACAAAAATTGTTTTATAATTATTGCACTGTCATTGAATAAGGTAAAAATTACAAAGTAACATTAGATTTTAAGAAGAATGCATATTTTAATCTTTGAAGTAACCACTAAAAGAATAGTACAAATCAATTTTTTGATCCATATATTCCCTATGAAGATCACTATCATTTTTGCAAAGAAGAGGGAGAACTACATCCTGATACAGATCATATTGACCTAAAACTAGAGTTATGTAAAAGTTTATAAAACTATATCCAAAGAAGCCAACACACTAGTCTAAGCACAGAAAAAGGGAAATCGCACTGCAGAACAGAGAAACCACAAATAGAATGTTGTCTTTTAGTTTCTGTATTTCCCCAGCAATCTTTCAATATACTGTTATCAAACATCTATTGCTTTCCTTGACCTCTTTACCACATACATACAAAATCAGTGTTTCCTTTCAATTGCAAAACATGCAGCACTAAACCATTCTAAAACTGGAAACAAGTGTATGCCAAAAAAAGAAGAATCTATCTTAAACTGTGAAATAATTGTTCTCCAGGGGCAATTCCATCTTCCCCAAGAAAGCACAGACAGATAGTATGGAATAGAATGCATGACTAGTCTGTAATGGAACGGGATAATCAAGCTACATTGAGGAGCAGCAATTCCTTGAGTTTGCCAATTTCTGTTGACACTCAATAAAAAGTACTCTTTAGGGACTTAAAAACAAAGAAACAACTAATTTCAATTAATCAAATTAGCATAGATAGCCTTCCCCAACACCAGGTGTCCACACCCCAATCCTAATTCTCTCTGTCCTCCTCCATGGCAGTTTGGAACATGAGACCTCCTCTGTACCAATTTACAAGCTACATAACAAATCTCTGTGACCTGAAACAAAAAACTAACAGCACCATAAGTCATTTATGACAGATAGAACTACTTGATAGAAAATATATGTCACTCTCAAGTCACCCTTTACCAATGAACCCTCAAGCATCTATCCTTTGAAGCGCCTAAAACTCTGGTAAATTCATAACTCTTATGTATCTAATAATTTAACTTTGCAATTATTTACATATCAACCTCTTTGAAAAAATAGATATCTTCCTAAAAAAAGAACACTGGTTTCCTCGGCCCTCAATTCTCTCTGCCACCCAAGGACCCGGCACCTTTATGGCTCCTGGTGGCTGCTTTCTCATATCAATAAGTTGATGAGTTAAAGGGGTTCAGGTTTCCACATGCCCTATATCTGAGACCAAGGTCAAAATCAAACACATATAGAAACATTTCCAAAATCCTCCCTCCCTTTATAGAGATTTCATAATGCACCACTGATGAGGAAAGCAACCTAACAAAGCCAACCTAAAAATATAATACTCTAATGGTAGAGGATTTTGTTGACCGATGAGTAATAGAAACAGATTTGGCCAACAAAGAATGATAGTGTCTTCTCTGGAGCCATGATCAACACCAGCAGGTCCAGCACTGCCACCCAAGCTGACAGCCTAAATGAGGGCACAACACCAACTGCCTCCGTCCTCATACCAGAACTTCCTAGAATCTCTAGCTGATTCTCTCTGACCCCCTGAAATTTATATTAACTCCACTGATCCTTTCAATGCTGCCAGTATAAACTGAGAGGACATCCAGACGCCCTGCCTGATGAATACTGGTCCCTTTTAGGCAGCCTGAACCCCTGTGGGCAATAGGTACATACTGTTGTGCCAACAAAACCACTTTAAAATAAGGACTTAATGTTTATAATGATATGATGTTTGCAAGGATCTGTAATATTTCATACAACTAAACATTTGTTATCACTTCAAAATATTCATTTCTTTTAATCACAATAAACACCCAAGTTTTTTTTTTTTTTAAACAGTTTTATTTATTTATTTATTTTTTGTGTGTGAGGAAAATCAGCCCTGAGCTAACATCCGTGCTAATCCTCCTCTTTTTGCTGAGGAAGACCGGCTCTGAGCTAACATCTATTGCCAATCCTCCTCCTTTTTTTTTTCCCCAAGGCCCCAGTAGATAGTTGTATGTCATAGTTACACATCCTTCTAGTTGCTGTATGTGGGACGCAGCCTCAGCATGGCCGGAGAAGCGGTGCGTCGGTGCACGCCCAGGATCTGAACCCGGACCGCCAGTAGCGGAGCACGCGCACTTAACCGCTAAGGCACGGGGCCAGCCCACCCAAGTTTTAAAATAAGGGCTTTTTTTAAATTGGGAAATTAAGTATTCAATGTTATAATATTGCTATTTCTATAAAAAGAAAAGTAACAAAACGACTTGTAATCACAAGCATATTCCATATAAATGTTGGGTAAATTTAACTCAGTAATTTAAATATTTATTGAACATCCACTACTAATACTAAAACAGGCACTCTTTTAGCCCTAAACAAAGTAGATAAAAATATCTGCTTCATGCAACTCGCACTCTAACACAGGGAGATATATAAACAAAACAAATAAAGTATACAGTATGTCAGCACGTTAGATGGTGGTGAGAACTAAAAGTAAAATATAAAGCAGTGAAGGCAATATGATGTGGGGGGGATGGCACTGCCAACCGTAAGTAGCCAAGAAAGAAATCCCTGAGAGATGGTGACATATGAGTAAGGAGAGAAGGAACAAGCCTTGCAGCTATCTTGGAAAAAGCGTGCATGGCAGAGGAAAAAGAAAGAACAAAATTTACAAAGGCCCTGAGGTGAGAATGTTCAAGGAAAAGTAAGGATGTCAATAAGCAAGGGATACAGTAGATGAAGTCAGAACTTTAACAGGGGCCATATCATGCAGAGCCCTGGAGGATATAGTAAGATCTTTTGATTTTCCTCTAAAGAACAAGGAAAGCCATAGGAGGGTTCTGAGCTACTATGCTGAGAGCACAGTGAAAAAGGCAAGGGTGGAAGTAGGGAGACCAAAAGAGAAGCAGGAGAGAAACGAAGGTGACTTGGACCGGAGTGGAGACTAAAAGAAGAAAGTTTGGAGAGAAAATCAGGAACTCAGTTTTAGATGTGTAAAGTTCTAGATGCCTACTAGACATCCAGTAGAGATACCAAGTAGGCTGCAGGATTAAGTCTGGAATTAAGGGAAGAGGTCTGAGCCATAGATTTAAATGAGGTGCTGTGAATTAGACTGAGCATCACCAAAAGAGTTCGAGTATATAGGAAAGAGAAAAGGTCTAAGGAATGAGTACTGGAGAATCCCAACACTAAGAGGTTAGGGAGATGAGAAAAACCAGCAAAAGAGCTGAAGAATGGCCAATGGGGTTAGAGGAAAACCAGAAGACAGGATATTCTGGAAACCAAGCAAAGAAAGAATTTCAAGAAGGCAACAGTGATAGGTCAAGTAAAGTAAGGACCATTGAATTAAGCAACATGGAAGTCACTTGTGACCTTGATGAGCTGTTTTAGTACTATCTATCTTGTAAGAAAATACATAACTTAGTACCTGTAAAGCTTTATGCTCCATTTGAAGATCTTTTATTTTATTCTGTTCCTGGCAAACTCTATTTAGGGATTCATCTTCCAATTCACCAATTTTGCATTTCACACTCTCCATAATTTGTTCCAAGTCATTAGCTCGTTGTTCCTGATCTGCTGCTCGGCTCTGTTCTAGCTGAAGTTCACTTCTAGTAAAAGACACACAATTCCTTCCCTTACTAATAAAAATAAATCACATCATACCCATCATAAATAAATCACAAACATATCCATCTAACAACATAACGAATTTCTAAAATTTCTTTGCATTCTTAAAATGTCTTATAACACAAACCAGTAGAAGAAATATAGAGTACTATTATAGATCTAAGCTAAGCTACTATCAAAAGATTTACCTATTAAATACACACACACACACACACACACACACTTTTTTTTGCTAAGGAAGATGTCCCCTGAGCTAACATCTGTGGCCAATCTTCCTCTATTTTGTATGTGGGTCACCTCCACAGCATGGCTACTGAGTGGTATAGGTCAACGCTCAGGAACCAAACCCAGGATGCCGAAGCGGAGCGCACTGAACTTAATGACTATGCCACCGGGCCAGCCTCCTTAAATATATTTTTTAACTTAATATTTAATCAAAACAGAAAACTGAATTTCAAGATTCTTTTTAAGGGTTATTTTTAGAATGCATATCCTGTATATAAACAATTCAAAACAGATTTTTTTTTCCATTTTCATACTTAAGCTGCTGATTAGTTTCTATGAGCTCCTGGATCACGTTCTGTTGACGTGTTGTTTCTTCCATCAAGGTTTTCAAATTCTGTCTCATCCTTTGTGATGACTGTTTGTCAAAAACGATGAGATCTACATTTTTTGAAATGTAATACAGACAGTAAAAAGAAAGGTAAGGCCAAAAATTAAAGACAAAAACTTTTTAAAGTAAAAAGAAGCTTTTTACTATAAAGAGCATAGAATAGGATCACATTACCTGTAAGATCTGTCCTTTTGACTAGAGATAAAGGTTTTAAGCCATGCATCATCAAAAGCACATTTATGCTTTCCCATTCTGCTTCTTCCTGCTACAAATCACAAGGACAGAGAAAAGGATCAACTTTAAGATATAAAGTGAAGAAACACCTTCTTGTATATAATTCCCTTTGTTTTCAGAGTAACAGAACTTTTTCTCCAAAAGATTTTTTTCTCCTTTTTTTTTTTTTTTTGCAGGGGAAGATTCACCCTAAGCTAACATCTTTTGCCAATCTCCCTCCTTTTTTCTTCTTTTTCCCTCCCAAAGGCCTAGTACATAGTTGTGTATAGTTGTAAGTTCTTCTGGTTCTTCTACGTGAGCCACCGCCACAGCATGGCCACTGACACATGAGCGGTGTCATTCTGCACCCAGGAACTGAACCCGGGCCACTCAAACAGAGCTTGCTGAACTTGAACTGCTAGGCCATCAGGGCTGGCTCATCCGAAAGATTTTTAATATGAGTTTTTTATGTACATATAATGATTAAAATTAAAACAACAAATTTGTTTCTAACAAAATTAGCAGACTAAAAAGGACACAAATAAGCACACATAATTACATCACATACTTCCAGAATGTATATAGGCCCTAATGGATAAATTAAAACAAAAACACCTTGTAATTTCAGTGAACCAAATAGACTTTAGGTTTTTTATCAAACTGAACCAGACCAGGCCCCATTCAAAAGAAATAGGTGCAAATTAGGCTACATTAATTGAATAGTAAAGAAAAGGTGAGTCACTCAGAAACAAGCGCCACTTCAACAATGACTAAACTTACAAAAAGATCAAAACATACCTGACTGGTCAAAACCAATAATTTAGACAGTTCCTTGTATAATAGACAAGGTCTACCTATAAAAAGGAGTCTGTCCATCTAGGTGACTGATTCTAATAGAATCACTCCAAAAGACACTCTCAAGTCTTTTATCCCTAATTCTAAATATGTAATTATACCATAAACTTGAGAGGGGAACTCTTAACTCTCTAGATTAAGTGAATAAAAACATAACAATGTGAAGAAAAAAGTAATAAGAACATAAAATACAGAGAAGGATAGAAATAGAGACGATATAAAAAAATGACATTTAAATCCATGATAGTAATAGTTTCATAATGGGCTTTTAATGTAAGTACAATGATCAATTTTACCACTGTATGAAGTGCTTTGCTTGTTTTTTAAGCCATTAAAGTATATTTATGAAAAGGTAATTTGAATGAATTTTCAATGTTTAAATGCTTGAAAAAAATATAATTTATACAATAAATACATTTTTATTAGTGGTATAGTATGTGAATATTGTAACAGCTTAAGTATTAAGAATATAGATAATTGACAAAATACAAATAAAAGTATTACTCTCCACATCCAAATGCCCCTCAGACATTAAAATATCAAGACAAAAAAGGAACAAATTGCTAATGACTTTTTTTTTTAATAATTTTTATTTATTTATTTTTTTCCTCCAAAGCCCCAGTAGATAGTTGTATGTCATAGCTGCACATCCTTCTAGTTGCTGTATGTGGGACGCAGCCTCAGCACGGCCGGAAAAGCGGTGCGTTGATGCGCGCCCAGGATTCGAACCCGGGCCGCCAACAGCGGAGCGCGTGCACTTAGCCGCTAAGCCACGGGGCTGGCCCACTAATGACTCTTTGATAGCACTATGACTCAGCACCAAATAAATCTTTCCTTTTGACTGCTGACTTTCTTCCCCTTCTTTATCCTTTCTACACTTCTCCTCCCTCCCACAAGCTTTTCCTTTATTTATGCTTTAGGTCTTCTGGTCACAAAGTTTAATGACACAGAACTAAAATGATTGCTGATATCTGTTTTAGGAGCCAAAAGCTCTGTGTGGGTATCTCAGTGGATGTCTACTATGACTCACAAAAACAAAATGCTCTGTAAATAATAATGTCACACATTTTGAATGATTAAATTATACAAATTGTTCCCTGATACCTCTTTAAGAGAAAGAACAACCTAACTGTTCACAAATTCTGAAAATAGCTGAGAATAGCATTTTCCAAAGTACAGTAGTTTCCCCCTTATTCTTGGGGATACGTTCCAATACCTTGAGTGGATGCCTGAAACCACGGATAGTACCAAACTCCATATACACTATGTTTTTTCCTATACACATATACCTCTGATAAAGTTACAGTAAGAGATGAACAATAACTACTAATAAAATAGAACAATTATAATATACTGTAATAAAAGTTACCATAGATCTTAGCAACCTCAGCATACAGTTTTTTTTTCTTTCCTTAAGTCAAGAACTTGCACCTTTTCACTTAAACGAAGCACTTTATGGCTTCTCTTTGGCATATCCAAATTGCCAGCGTCACTACTCTTATGCTTTGGGGCCACTATTAAGTAAAATAAGGGTTATTTGAACACAAGCACTGCGATACTGTGACAGTCAATCTGATAACCAAGACAGCTACTAACTAACAGGTAGGTAGCATATACAACGTGGATACGCTGGACAAAGGGACGATTCCCAACCCGGGCAGGACAGAGTGAGATTTAATCACACTACCCAGAATGGTGCACAATTTAAAACTTATGAATTATTTATTTCTGCAATTTCCCATTTAATATTTTCGGACAGTGGTTGACTGTGGGTAATTGAAACCATGGAAAGCAAAACCACAGATAAGGGGGTACTACTGGTATCTGCTGCTGAACACCAGTCTAATGAAATGTTCATCAGATTAGTATTCAATAACAAACACTGTACACTAAAGCATCCTTTTGGAGACTGATAGTATTGTGAAGTCTTAGAATAACGAAATCATTTAATAGTCTTTAACCCAGCATTTCCCAAAATTATTTTACTAAAAATTCCTGTTAAAGTAAGGTTTTTTTACATTTGTCGATGTAGTATTCTTTGGGCACATACTTTGAGAAACACTGGCTTCAAATATTACAAGTTTACCTGTTTTTCAGTCATGAGTCTGTTTGATGATTTACTGGACTCCGGGGCTGCTGAAGATATAGTTTCCTTTGTAGAATCAAAAGAAGTAGATTGGCAATAAAAAAATTTGAGTTCCCTAAGTTAAAAAAGAAAAAGTGCAATAGGTGTTAAAGGAAATTATATCTAAAAGAACCTACTACTCTTGGGCAATTTAAGCCATTCTTGTGTCAACTTCTATGACTTCTTAGAAAGCTGATTTTAAGAATGATTAGAATAAACCCTATATTTTAGTGTGTGTGTGTGTGTGTGTGTGTGTGTGTGCATGTGTGTGTGTGAGAGGAAGATTAGCCCTAAGCTAACATCCGCTGCCAATCCTCCTCTTCTTGCTGAGGAAGATCGGCCCTGGGCTAACATCCGTGCCCATCTTCCTCTACTTTATATGGGACACTGCCACAGCATGGCTTGATAAGTGGTGCGTCGGTCCGCACCCGGGATCCGAACCTGCGAATCCCAAGCCGGGGAAGTGGAGCTCGTGAACTTAACCACTACACCACCAGGCAGGCCCCAAACCCTATCTTATAATGCTCTTCAGAAATAAAACATTATGTTTTACATAAATATACACACACACAAAGAAAACTATTTAAGTAGATGATGTGAAAAGCACATGATGCTAATAAATAAACTGTTATCTTTTGGAAGTTGCTTCCCAAAAACCTAAAAGAATTGTGCCTGACCCAAAGTTACAGGCCAGTCTAACAATTCACTGGACTAACTCTAAAGGTGAATGGAGTGCCACTTTCTTAGTGGTCTTTACTTCTAAGTAGATCAGAAGCCAGCAACAAAGGATTCTGTTTGGCACACACAAAAGTTTATATTTTAGTATACCCTACCATCACTTGCTCTTGTTATCTAAGACCCTGCCATTCTATAGGAAAACATTTCCTTGGGTTCTTTGATATATAGGTATAATTCCTCCTTTCCAGAGGCACAATCACAAACGTTGATTAGCATCATGGAATTTTAGAGCTTGAGAGGACATTGGAAATGGTTCAGTCCAAAATCTCTAGCTGTTCATAACTGGCAGGAAAGAGCGTAAGGAAAGTTGTACCAAAACATCAGGTACTATAACCACCTGAAACACAGAGAGGTGAAATGATCTTCCCAGGATTGATTACAAGTAGGACTCCTTGCTGACAGTTCAGTATTTCTTCCAAAGCACCCTTCTGCCCTTCTACATCTGATTATGATAGGGAAATCCAACTAAGCAATTTAGAAGTCACCAATAATTTATTTTCAGCTAAACCTAATAACATGTTACAAATTCTGAAATTCTGCCATTTTTGTTGCTTGACATCACAGAGTACTCTCTCCTCTGTAAATTTTGGTCTCTTTCAACAACTCAATCACCCCCTATGTTCATGCCTCCCGTCTTTATTTTAAATAAAGATCCTTTTCCAACGTATCAGCAAACGTCAGCTGCTACCACCTTCCAGCTACTTTTTTAACTTTTCGTTTAGAAATTTTCAGAAATACACAAAACTAGAGAAAGAGTATAATGAACCCATGTATTTATCAATCTAGCTTCAATGATAAACAATATTCTCCCATTCTTGTTTCAGTTCTTCCTCACCCACTTATATTTCAGTATACAGACTCTTTTTTTTTCTTGTGAGGAGGATTAGCCCTGAGCTAACATCTGTTGCCAATCCTCCTCTTTTTTTGCTGAGGAAGACTGTCTCTGAGCTAACATCCGTGCCCATCTTCCTCTACTTTATATGGGACATCATCACAGCATGGTTTGACAAGCAGTGCATTGGTCCGCGCCCAGGATCCAAACCTGCGAACCCCGGGCCACTGAAGCAGAGAGTGCAAACTTAACCACTATGCCACCAGGCCAGCTCCAATACGGACTCTTTTTAAACATAACTTCAATACCATTATCACACCCAATAAAATTAACAATAATTCCTTAACTATCACTTAATATCTAGTCCATGTTCAATTTTCCCCCAAATGTCTTTAAAATGTCTTTTTACAATTTTTTCTCTTTCAAATCACAATCCAAACAAGGTCCACATATAGCACTCTTAAGTTTCCTTTAATCTATAACAGTCCCACTCCTCTCACCCTTTTTTTTTTTGTAAGGAAGATTAGCCCTGAGCTAACATCTGTTGCCAATCCTCCTCTTTTTGCTGAGGAAGACTGGCCCTGGGCTAACACCCATGCCCATCTTCCTCTACTTTATATGGGACACTGCCACAGGACGGCTTGACAAGCAGCACATTGGTCTGTGCCGAGGATCCGAATCTGCGAACCCTAGGCCCCTGAAGTGGAGTGCGTGAACTTAACGCCACTGGGCCAGCCCCTCACCCTTTTGTTTAACTTGCCATTTATTTGTTGAAAAAAATAGGCCATTTGTCTTGCAGAATTACCCGCATTTCATACAGGGCTTACTGTATTCTTATCATTTAACACATTTCTCCATCCCCTATATTTCTTGTAAACTTATAACACGTAGAAGTTTTATTAAGTTCAGGTTCAGTATTTTTTGGCAAGAATACTTCAGAGGGAGTGCTGTGTTTTTCCTACTGCATCACCATCAGGAATCAGCCAGAGTTTTAAAGCGTGAAGAACACACTCCGTAGACCAGACATAAGGGTGGTAGATATTAATGTAAGAGAATGTCCCAAAGAGTGTGGCGCCACATATTCTAACAATCTCCCTAACAGCCACATTGGACCTCTTTTAAATCTTTAAAGTGTCATCTCCCTCCAGGTTCAAGGCCTGGGCACTCTTATCCTCTTCTTCACTTAGTTAACTCATACTGGACCTTCAGATCTCAGCTCAAATTTCCTTCTCAAGGGAAATCTCCCCTGATCCCATGACTAGATCAGGTCCTCTTGTTATGTGCTCTTGTAGCACTATCAAGAGTAAAGTATAAAGGTTTAGAGTTCAGAGTCAGATGGCTCGAGTGACTGACTATTGGCTTAACCATTTATTAAATGTGTGACATGGACAAAATCATTAACATCTTTGAGGTTTCATTTCTTCATCTGTAAAAGAGACAACATAGTAATACCTACACCTCATAGGTTAAATTAAATCAGACAACATGTATAAAGTACTTAGCACAAGTGCCTGGCACATAGGAATTTATAGATAATTGGTAGTTATTGTTATATAGAAGTATGCTGAACAAAATGGATCTTACCTAATAATACCATTGTATATTATCTTAGACTTTTTCTACAAATTACTCTGTTAATTATCTGATACAAGTTGTTTTACATAAATATGTCTAGGTAGGACTAAAGTCCATGAGATAAGTAGTCTACTTTTTTGTAATGGTAGAGTAAGCAATTCTGCCTCTAAAGACAATGAAGAAAACTGAATAACAGACATTAAAATTTTTTTTCTTAGTAACAATATAATGAGGAATTACAAGGCAAAAATTGAGAAGATGAGGAGTGATGTCAGCATCATGGCAGAGTGAGATTTTCCCCTCAGACTGTCCCCCACTAAGATACAACAAAAAAGGACATTCATATACCAACAGAGGGCATTCACACAACACAAAAGACATCTGAGAGACCCATGGAGCCTTACATCTGAAGGTGGAGGTGCTGGAACCCCCAGAGAAAGTGGAAGGAGGTAAGGAGACCTCCGTCCATCCCCACCGGCAATGACTCCAGGTCCACGCAGCACTCAGAGAGAAAGAGGGGTGAGGGGCAGCCATCCGTGGGAAAACCGTTGCTCTCCCAAGTTCTCTCACAGCCCATGGGAAACTTCCACATGGAGGGGACTGAACTGTTGCGGGGCTGCCATCATCAAGCTAGTACCCCAGGAGAGCAGATAGTGAATGAAGAGCGAGAAACCACCAGGATCCGGCGGGCGAAAGAAAGCACCCCTCCCCCCGCACAGCACTTCAGCTCAGCTGGTCGGCCAGAGCGCCCACAGATCACCACAGGCACAGAATACACAGCTCTTGACCCCCACTCAGTGGCAGCAGGTGGAAGCTGCATCCAGATATTTTCAGCATGAGGAAAAATAAACTCCCACCCTCAAGCAGTATGTAAAAATATATTAATTCTCCAGACCAGAAGGAAAATGACAAGCACCCAGAAATCAATCCAGAAGGCACAGAAATTTATAACCTAAACAACAGAGAGTTCAAAATAGCTATCATAAAAAAGCTCAACGAGGGGGCCACCCCGCGGCGTAGCAGTTAAGTACGTGCGCTCCACTGCTGGCGGCCCAGGTTTGGATCCCGGGCGCGCACCGATGCACCGCTTGTCAGGCCATGCTGTGGGCGCGTCCCATATAAAGTGGAGGAAGATGGGCACAGATGTTAGCCCAGGGCCAGTCTTCCTTAGCAAAAAAAAAAAAGGAGGATTGGCATGGATGTTAGCTCAGGGCTGAGCTTCCTCACCAAAAAAAAAAAAAGCTCAACGATTTATAAGAAAATACAGATAGACAGTTCAATGAAATCAGGAACTTCTTCACCAAAGAGATTAAAACTATAAAGAAAAACCAATCAGAAACGCTGGAGATGAAAAACACAATGGAGGAGATAAAGAAAAATCTGGAATCTTTAAAGAACAGAGCTGAATCTGACCGGGCAAGAGAAACAATAGAAAAAATAAACAAATGGGACTACATCAAACTAAAAAGCTTCTGCACAGCAAAGGAAACCATCAACAA